TTCTATTGGCGCCGGGGGCTCCCTTTGGGGCACTTTCCCTGCACTAATTCTCCATACAGGAGATCATTTGGATCCATATACCAGTAGTTCCATATACTGTATATAAGTGTGTGTGTTTTTCTGGATGTTGGTTAGACTATTTCTCCATACAGGAGATCTTTTGGATCCATATGCCAGTAGTTCCATATACTATATATAAGTGTGTGTGTTTTTCTAGATGTTGGTCATGTGCAAGTCTAATTGACTGTGCATGGAGTTCTGAAGGAACTAGATGGATGGAAAATGTAACAGTAAGAGATGCCCATATCTTTTAACTGGGGTGCTTATGACTGGGAAGCACAACATTATAGTGCAAGCATCGCAGACATTTTTCTTTATCCTGTGCTTCACCACTCCAAGTTGCAATGATATATAGTGGGTTTCTACAGCACTAGACGGAGTGAGGTGTCCCCTGGAGAGCAGAGAAGAAGTGTGTGCCATGGAACCTGCCAGTGATGAAGTATAAGTCCCCTGCCAGTCTGAACTGGTACAGCCCACTGAGGCTTAGGGCTCATCCCCACCTCATTTTGTTGTGTGTTTAAGCCACAGCCTTGGGACAAAATTACAAAGTATTGTGATGTTCCCTAGGGACTTAAGAAGTTTTGCTCTTTTTCATTTTGTAGAACGCATCTGGGTTTGAATTCCAGAGTGTGGTCTCATTTTAAAATCAGTTGTTTATGCTGGCTTTAGAGCTTCTTGAGCAGCTACCATGCCACAACGAGGACCTCTGTCTTAATGTCTCTTGTGCTACAACCGTGCATGCTTGCATCCGACATCATAGGATGGCAGGTCTCTCCAGTCATATGTCAGAGAAATGCAGTTCATCTTATGAACGAATGTGCTTCTTCCTCCACTCCCTGCTTGCAGGTCTTGAAGCAGGCAAGAACATGAGTTGGGATCCTGGATGTCCTTTCAAGGCATGCTCAGAAGGTGTCTCTTCATCCAAGCTCGTGTCGGCTCTTAATTTGGAATTTCTTTTCCCATGCAATTGCAGATGTGCTTAACGATTACCTTGTTAAATGATGAAACTGCTTGACAATGAAGTTTTTGTGATTGCTTTTGTGATTGCAAAATGATGTTCTAATAGGGAAAATCGTTTAACAATGATCGGTTCCCTGCTTCGGGACCAATTTTTCGCTAGACGACGATTTAGAAACAGCTGATCGGTGGCTCTAAAATGGCCGCCCGCTGTGCAGAATGGCTCCCCGCTGTGATTTAGGACGGATTCCTCACTTTACAGGCACCGAAAATGGCCGCCCCTATGGAGGATCTTTGCTGGACCCTGCGGTATTTAGCCCATTAGGACACATTGAACAGGTTTTCAATGCATTTCAATGGGCTTTTTCATTTTGCTTGGCGAGGATTTTGCTTAACAGCGATTTCAACGGAATGAATTATTCTCGTCAAGCGAGGCACCACTGTAGATCATTCAGGAAAAGAAGTTGCATTGGGGAAACTGTGTATCTCGGTCATCTTCAGAGGATGAAACCCAATAGTAAGCTGCAACTTGAGTAGGTCTATTGAATCTGTGGGATTCATGGAGGGGTTGGCTTTCCAAATCCCCATGGAATCAATGGAAATACCCAAGTTGCCACTTACTGCTGGATTTCAACCAGAAAGTCTGTTGGTGAAGGTGAGAGCATTGAAGTGAGGCTGGCCTGAAGATGAATTGGACCTGTTGTCCCAGCCAGCCTACCCAAACTTCCATAAACAAATTGCACAATAGGATTCTCCACTCCCACCGCCAAATCTTGCTTACCTGAAAATTATGGCTAAACTTTTGATTTGGGTCTCTACATAGCTGTGATGGATGCTGTCTTTTTTCCTCTCTCCCAGCAACTCTGGATTCTAGCTGTTTTGCAGCTGTATTGCAACGCTTTTGTAACGTAACACTGATTAAGCATTAGGTGGATTAAGTCTGGAATTTCAGCCTTGCCCATAGTTTCCTCGTTTATGTGTGGGTTTCAGTTTGGACCTCTTAACATTCATGTAACTGAAGGAGTTTGCTTGGGCTGGACCTGACCTTTCCATTGAGAAATGTCAGCTGAGTGTTTCCACTTGCGCAAATAGTCACCTTATGGTACGTCGAACCACAAGTAGGCATTAAGATAATCTTTGGGGAGCTTTGAAGGTCAAGCCAATCCTCTGGGCCAAAGGCATGTCATACCATTAAGGGGCAAGGGAATTATTGTGGTCTGGAATGAGGTTGGTCCATGTGGTATGTCCACATCATTTGGGGGCAGGAACAACCTGATTCTGAGAATCACTATTCTGGAAGATAGGAGTGTATCTACGATTAGGTTTCCCTCCAGCATATTGTCATTGCAAAAGACAATAAGGGCAAGAAAAGTTGAAGGTAATAGGAAAAGAGAAAGGCCAACTACAAGATGGATTGTTTCAGTAAAGGAAGCCTCAGCCTAGCCCTGAGTTTGCAAGAGCTGGGCAAGATTGTTGACCTAGGAATTTTGGGAGGTCACTGTTGGGTAAAGTCAGCAGCAACCTGACAGTGCATAGCGCTATCAGCAACAGCAACAATACATGGTATTCAGAATTTTCCAGCCTTCTCACTTCAGGATTGAGCTGGCATTCTTAGAGTATATCCGCATACTCTATAAAGTTATAATAGTTGGGTATCACTTTGATGGCATCAGTTGTTTTTGGAGAATCCAGAGACGTATCGTTTGGTGAGAACGTTGTCTCTGTGATAAAGAACTGAATGTATCTCGTCAGACTCCAGATCTTCGGATTGTTTAGGATTCAACCAGGGTTGTTAATTTGGTATCAGCCTGTGCAGCGTAGATATACTTTTCTTTGGAGAAAAAGCCACGACGGAGCACCAGTCCAGAACAAGAACTAAATGGGGCCCTCCCTGATCCTGCCTGAGATCAGAGTCTTTCTTTAAAAAATAAAAAAAGAGGCCAGCTTGCAAAAAAAGAGCAGAAATAACCATAACTAACTTGGTAAAAGCAAGGCTGTTTGTACACTTGGAGTAATGCTGGCAAATTTTACTTCCTCTGTGAATTCAACATGCACACTATGCTCTTTCACTCCGCTGATCCTGTTCACTCCTCATTGCACTGTTCTGGTTTGCCCGCATAAGACGGCATGTCCTTTCCCCTCATCTTTCAAGAAATCTTGGCGTTCTCCCAAGCTGACTGGTAACCTCAGCCCTGTGTGTGGATGATGCTCTTTCAGCTACATAAGAACTGACCATTGAGGATCACGTGTTCTATCAGTCTGTAGCAGGTGAGGGTCATCTCCAGAAGGCTCCTGGAGTCTTCTCCTGGGGTCCTTTGCCCTCAGCCCCTTCCTTTACGCAAGGGGGGGGGGAAGAATCAGGAATTTCAGCCCACGGTGCCTCTTCCCAAGTAGCCATGGCTCAGAATATACTCTTTCCACATCTCCCCCTCCTCTGAAGGTCTCTGTCTCTCACTCTGTTTCCCTGAAGGAAGCCCCTGAGCCCTCTGAGTCTTCCTTTTTCATCCCTGCCTTTGCTTTGTCCTCCCCCTCACGGGTGGGCCTCATCAGCCCGGTTGCTCACAGATACCTGTCACCCCTCCCTCTCTCGCCTAATAGGGGTCCGGGAGCTCTAGCCTCAGACAGCCGGCCCCTCACACTTCCTTGGGCTGTGGGGAGAGAACCGCCTCTTCAAAACCCGTTCGAGGAACTTACGTCCACCATCTTTTCCACCCACGGGCGGAAAATGGTGGGTGCAGCAGAAGAGGCAAAACCATAGATCTTAAAATGCACAAGAGAAGTTTAGGTGCAGTTCCTTGCTCTTCGTCTGAGATGTTCCAAAAGCCTTGGAACGAATTTTTGTAGAAAACTTTGGTTCTTGTTCCTCCTTTCTTCAGCCTCAGAAAACAGATGGCAAGATCATAATAATGTGCTGTCAAGTTGATTCTGAGTTGCCACGAACGTCCTAGGATTTTCTAGGCATCAGGCGTTGTTTACCAGTCCCTCCTTCCTGTTGTGCTCTAAGGTGGCGTAGGCTTCCCGAAGGCCACACAGGTGGCAGGGCACCTCATCCCGTCCACCATTTAGGCTCAGCATGATCGCTTCTGCCTCCTCTCCCAGCTGGTATTCAGCCTCCCAGTCCCTGGCTCTGCCACCAGATGTTCCAGTCCATTGAGTCCTACCAGCTCCTGGGGCCAGAATAGCACCTCTTTTAATTTCGCTGCTCACAGACTTTGTGAAGTCAAGCCAACTTTCCTTGGGTTCGAAGTGACGGAATGGGGTTGCCTAGTGCCACATCGTGGGTACGGGACAAAGTCGGTCTTCTTCTTTTCTGCTTTTAATTGTGCTGGCAACGCTTCCTAATTGGTTTTGATAGCGTCGCTTTCGGTATTTAATTCCTGGCCTTGTTATTTGATTTGCTGTTTATTTCCTGTGTCTTCATTCTATTAGCATCTTGCTTTGTAAAACCCGCTTGAGGCTGTTTTGTTTTTAGAAAGCAGAGCAAAAATGCCATACGATTTGTAATGAGAACTTCGTCTTCTGGATCCGGCAGGAAATTTACTTTTAGTTATAGTTACCATTTTCAAAGCCCCAAAAGTAATGAGCTCTCATTGGGGCCATAATTTTGAAAGTACCTGTATCTTTTCTTTCTACCTGAAACTAATTAAGACAGTTGCCTTAAGTTTCTTCAAAGTCCTAGAATCCTATGACTTATGGTACCTCCTCCTCCTCCTCCTCCTCCTCATCATATTCCTAAGTAATGAGGTAGCATAACTTACCTCCTCCTCCTTCTCATCATCATCATCATATTCCTAAGCAATGAGGTAGCATAACTTGTAACTATAAATGTAACTAGTTACACTGTGGAATGTTATGTTGTAGTTCCAATGTAACTTGTTTATGACAGTGACTGCATGGAAATTAATCAATGTAATTAAAGTCCCTTGTTGTTTCCAACTTATGATTTCCAAGTCTTGGGCTGTGGGTCAGTTTCTCTCTGTTTTCTTCATTGGTCTTTTCTTTTTAGCCTGACATAGATAAAGCAGTGGACGCAGCCAAAGCAGCCTTTGAAAGGGGATCTCTGTGGAGGCAAATGGACGCCATGAATCGAGGGCGCCTCCTGAACAAGCTGGCTGATCTCATTGAGCAGGACAGAGTGGTGTTAGCTGTAAGTGACTTTGACCCATGGCAGCCACAGAGGGGAGGAGAGAGGGTGGGGAGAACCAGCCAGAACCTGTTCATGGCTTTTACTTGCACCAGAGTAGACCCATCCAACTATGTAGCAGTGTCGTAGACATCAAGCAGTCTGTTGGGATCTCAAGGTTCTGCTTTCTTCTTTTACGCTCAAGAGCACAGTCTAATACTTCAGATGGCATGGTGCAGAATTTGCTCCCGACAAAACGTAGTCAACAGAAGCTCACTGTTTATAGAACAGATTTGTCTCCACTGACCAAGAACAACATACTAGAAGAAGCTTTATCAAACACCATCTATGTTAGTAAACCTAGGTTAGACACAACTGTTTCTTAATTCATTGTGTCCAGTTTTCCAGACTCCTGCCTTTTCTTGTCTCCAAGTTTGAGATTTTTTTTTAAGGGGCAAAGTTTGAAAATATTTTTGTGTGCATTTAAAAAAAAGATTCCCATAAGATTTTCATTTTAATGCACATTTTCATGTGCATTTTTTTTCTTTCGTGGCATACATTGCAAGTTTGGAATTGCGTGGGTTTTTAATGGCGGACTGCATCCCGTTTATTGTGGAACCCTGGAGCTGCAGAATTAGTTAAATCAGTACAGAATTAACCGATCTTGATATCCCATGTTTTCCACTATAATTCTGCTGAGTGATCAATCTACTGTTCTCATCTACTTCTTCCATCAGTAGAAACTCTAGTAGGAATTAGACTGGAGGAATATTCCATCTAGGTCAAAAAATATTATGTATACGTAAAGAGTTAGATGATTGGATCTGTATGTGCTTTTTTTTAATTTCTTAGACTCTGGAAACGATGGACACAGGGAAACCATTTCTGCAAGCATTCTTCATTGACTTAGAAGGTTGCATAAAGACGCTTAGATACTATGCGGGATGGGCAGATAAGATCCAAGGGAAGACCATACCTGTGGGTAAGCCAAGTTGGAGCTGGTATCTTTTGTGTTTACTTCTGACTGCTATTAACTTGGAACTTCTATGGGGGAGACAAGAAATTAAGGACTGTTACTGATGACACAGCCAACTTTGGGTAAAATGAGCTTATGTTCTCCTTCTTCTCAAGCTCTTGGGGTCTTCCTTCATATCCAAGTTCATGGTTACCATAGTTGACCTCTAAATCAGAAACTGAAGACTCTGTTAAAATGGAGAGTCGGAAGGACCAATTTTTTGTCTTGCAAGCAGAACATCAAGATCATCTTTAAACCATGGTGTGGAATTCCTCCTCCCTTTAGAGTCTCATTCTTAAGAATGATCTGTTTTGAAATGAAACAGTTTCTCGGATCACCTCTAAGGAGGACATGAGATTCTGTTCCTGATTTAGAATTCTAAATGTCTGCATAAGGCTTGGGTCATGCAGGCAAATACATAAAGTTAACGTGGCAAGAGTACTTACTTTTGCTGCCATAAATGTGGACTGTTGCACTGGAGTGGTGGTGCAATTATTTGTTGACATAAGATCCTATGAAGGATCCATCTGTCAAAGGCTCTGTGGCTCATGCAATCATCATGTGTTGAACTTATTTAGCTGTATCTTACCTTCAAACCTGAACAGAAGGCTAAGAATACTCCAAGGTAGAACTTTATGTATTTCTTCATATGGTGATAATGACTTTTGACAAAAGAACAGTGCTTGGCATCAGGCTCTCCAATCTTCCCATGAAAACTTTGGAAGCTCCCCAAAAATGCTTGAGCAGAGGACTGGAGAGTAGGTTGTCATGGGGGCCGTCCGTGTGCCTCAAAGGTTATTTGGCAGTCCCACAGATTCCCTGCAAAAATTGTCAGATCCTGAAAGCGTTCAAAAACGAGGTACAAAAAACTCATCGATCGATTTGGAAATGGTTCTCCAGTGTAATTCGGTTTTGATTTCCTGTTAACTTGGGTTTGTTCTTGATTTTCTGTAATGTTTTCCCTATGTATGGGAGCTGGTGAAGCCTCCCAACAGAGTCTGGAAGGTAGACGGTTGGCCTGTAGGTGCATGTAAGGTGCCTATCCTTTGCATTATATCGGTGTTCCTCTTATGCAGCCATTGAGTTGTGATGTGCCTTGGTGAAGCCTCTAATGGCCAAAACATATGAGCTTTGTTATTCTTAATTCTTTTACATTAAACTTTTGTTTCAAGGTTGTGTGCTTCTTTAGTCATACTGATTTGCATGACCCTTAGCATAGTCTGCTACCTAACGTGGGCCACCTAAGTACATGGTACTAAATATGCAGTTTATCCAGTGTTTTTCTTCGACTAGTCTTAATTGCATTTCTTTCTGCTGAGCCCTTTGGAAAAGGTTCCCAGCCTTAAGAGTTACGCTACTTACTTGTCTTCGTCTTCTAAAATGATTCATACTGAAATTATCCTTCTTTAGTAACTAATGGCCTGAAATCTCTTGCAGATGAAAACTATGTCTGCTTCACCAGACATGAGCCGGTGGGCGTCTGTGGAGCCATAACACCGGTGAGTATAATGTTTTCCTTGGGAAATCCAAGGGTGGCCTTCTTGCTGATATCTTAAGGTCTCTTGCAGGTCCTACTCTTCCAGCTTCTTTTTCCCGAAGTAAAATTCATCTAGCTTGCTTCCTGATCTTTGCTTGGACCACAGGCGTTGACTATTGGAATTTCATTTTTTTTAAAAAGCCAAAATGCCTTTTTGTTTCTGTGTGTGAAAATGTCCAGGGTATCTGTGTTGATTTACTGAAGCAAAAATGCCAAAGGGACTTATGACCTCTGAAAGACTAAGGTGTTTATTTGGCGTATATTTTCATGGATTGTTGGCACCCTTCAGGTGCGTGTGGTCACTGTGTCATGTTGTAGTTTTCTGCCATCAAGTCACCTTCTACTTAATGTCAGCCATGTGAATATGACCTCCAAAATATTCTGTCAATAACAGCACCTTGCAAACTCTTGCAAACAGCTCTTGCAAACTCAAGCCCTCGGCGTCTTTTATTGAGTCAGTCCATCTCATACTCGGTCTTCCTCTTCTCCTGCTGCCTTCCAACTTTTCCCACTCTGTCTGTGCTCTGGTGCACAACTATCCAAACAAACTGCGCCAGAGCACAGACAGAGTTCTGACTCCCGTCCTCTGAAGATGCCGGCTGCAGAGACTGGCAAAACGTTAGGAAGAACAACCTTCAGAACACGGCCAAAGAGCCCAAAAAACCCACCACAATCAATTGTGTCCAGGGTTCAACGGTCGCATTGGAGTTCCATTTTGCTACAACAGGGAAAAGCTCGCACTTTTCTTTCTTCCTACTCAAAGAAAGCTACAGTGGGAAACGTTGTGGAGGAACTCGATGCTGGAAGCACATTAAACTGTTCTTTCTGTGTTAAGGAAACTCCCATGTAATTGGCCTGTACCAGAGGCTTGAGTGTGGTTGGGTCTCTAACTCTGTAGCTTATTTAACATAATAGTTAATCCCAGTGTATCATGGCCCCGTTCTGTTGATTACGCTGTAGGGGAACATAGCTGCCACCAATTAACTCTGCCTAATCTACAACAGGTATTTTCATTGGCAAAAGATGATTGCATCTAGGCTGGGAATGTTTACACAGCTGTTGGAGTAAAATACCGCTCTGGGATATTTCCTTACTACTGCTAGGATGTGGCCAGCATCATGTTAGAGAGGACGAGATTTGACATCCTCTGTCTTTAGGAAAGCAAATGTATCGCTGATCCGGTCGGACCGGAGACCCTACTGCAATCGGCGCCTTCATTTGGATAGAAAAGAGGTAGCAAGGGATTCAGAAACTTGTACAGTGGTGCCTCGCTTAACGGGCGCCCCATTTAATGATGAAATCGCATAGTGATTAACTTTTTGCGATCACTTTTGCAATCGCTTTGTGATGGTCTGAATGGGGTTTTTTTCGCTTTACCGATCATCGCAAAGTGATGAATTTTTAACAGCTGATTGGCAGTTCCAAAATGGCTGGGTAAAAAAAATGGCCGCCCGCTGTGTTTAGGGACGGATTCCTTGCTTACCAGGCAGCGAAAATGGCCACTGTATGGAGGATTTTCGCTTAAAGGTAAGTTTTTTAGTGCATAGGAATGCATTAAACAGGTTTTAATGCGTTTCTATGGGCTTTTTAAAATCGCATAGTGACGAAATCGCTCAGCAGCGATTTTGCTGCACCGATTATCATCGCTATGTGAGGCACCACTGTACCTTGGTCTAATAGGCAGGTAGAAATATTTCCTAATCTTATCTAAGATCAAAATACTGGGAATTGAATCTGGGTCCTTATATTTAAAACAATCATATTCTTTTACCCAGCTATAGGCTACCTCTCCTCCATTCTGGGAAATCAGAACATTGGGTTGTTTGAAACTATCCACGTTGCCTCTATGTTTGCTCTGGAGCAGTTTACGCAATCGCAACCCACATAACATTTCTGACTTAACTAGCTTCTACATAAATTGAGCTGGCTTAGTTGAAAACACGCACATATACCCCAGTGTTCTGAAGCAATCTGCTTTTCACAGTGTCCTTTAACATAGCTAATCTCTTCTGCCACCCACAGTTTTCTTTCCGTGTTTATGTCCTGTGGTCCTGTAGAACGAGAGAGGCCTGACCACCCATCCTGAATAAGCATTTCAGTAGCAGCTTTTCTGTGATGTAAAAACAAAGATATCCATGTTGGTTCATGAGAACAAAACAAAATTTGGTTTTGCCTTTTTCTTTGGCAGTGGTTCATCCTATACAGTACTTGTGTTTGTCATCGCCCTGTTTACTGAGCAAAATGGCCCTATACTGACACCTACAGACAGAATAAAGTACTACTATGCAGCTACTACTGTAGATAAGCATGTACTGTATACTAAGAAGAACTAGTTGTTGCAGTGAGAGAGAGATAACTGAGAAGAGAAGAAACATGTTGTAAAGAGGATCCTTGGAAGACTGACACACCCTACACACCAAACAGCATGCAAAGCAAATTAATCTTGAATGTATATAGCAGAAATCTGCAATGCTATTCCATATAACTGTTGTTGCTCTTTAATCTGGGGTGCGTGAAGAGTTGCAGAATTGCAGTGAAACGGATTTTGAGAAAGAGAGTCAAAGATATTCTTAAAGTGCTAGCAATGCAATACTTACAGGTTGAATTTCTTTGTTTCAGTGGAATTTTCCGTTGCTTATGCTGATATGGAAGATGGCTCCGGCTTTGTGCTGCGGAAACACATTAGTTGTCAAACCTGCCGAGCAAACACCCCTCACTTCACTATACATTGGCTCTTTAATCAAAGAGGTATGTAAAAGTCGAAGGCATTCTAGTGGGATTCTGACCTTTGCTGTAATTGGTTTTGTTTGGGGTGGGTGCACAGAGGGGAAACAGACAGCCGTGTCTATACATTCACTATGTTGGGACTGAGAAAGAGAGATACAGATGATGGTTGTCTGTATGTCCTAACTAAGGGCCTGGTCTCACAGGAAACCTGTCTTTACAAGCAGTGAGAAAAGGAATTCGAGATGTGTACAGTTACAGGTTTCACAAAGGGTAGACTATATCATACATTCGTTAACATGTGCACGAGGCAGTAGTTGGAAAAGCTACTTCTTGGATTACGACTCCTATGATTCTCCATCCTATGTAGCTACTGCCAAAAAGGTAACTTCTCATCGAAGCAGGAACAACGATGTGAAACAAGCTTGTGTGGCCTAAACCCCCCTGATCTCGGAGGGGATTTCGTTCAGGCAAATGGATTTAGGAGAGCAATTGAGGATGTTCTGAAAGTTACTTGCATCCCTTAGTAGGTGATTGCAATGCCCACTCTCAACACATCCTAACTTTTCTTAATCCAGTGCGACAATAATTATGTACTATTAAACTTTCCAGGCAGGATTCCCCCCAGGTGTGGTGAACATTGTGCCAGGATACGGCCCAACTGCTGGAGCTGCTATTTCTACACATCCTAATGTTGACAAAGTAGCTTTTACTGGGTCGACAGAGGTAAGCATTGTTATTTTCCTTTCTTCTTCTTCCTCGTCCTCCTCTGTCTGTTTTGCCCCACAGCAAACTCCTACTTTGTGAACTTGTTTAAAAGCACAAACATGAATTTTATGTAATGTTTCCTTTCCCTGGAAAGCAGCTCAGAGATTACATTAGGATATTTTGCAAACGTTATCATACATTCTGTTCAATTTAGTAGTGTGGCTATGAACATGCAGAGTTTTTTTTCTTTCTTTCTTTCTTTTGAGCCTACTTTTACGCTTAAGTTCCCCACTGAGATAACACTCTTTAGGTTACTAAGATAATCCAATACAACACTCCGTTGATTAATTTAATTTATATGCCTTAGACACACAAAGCCGTTAGCAGCAAAAAGAAGAGTATATATTAAAATAAAATCTTGATTGGTTTTTGTTTAATAAACCAAATATTGAAAAAGCAGTAAAATGATAGCCGGCACGCAACCAGCTCAACCCCTTCAGCTGCAGACCAGCTTAAGTGGTCAAGGTTGGCAGGTCTGTTTAGTGGAAGGACAACAGAGATGGTGCAAACCCAGAATCTCCAGTGAGGAATTCAAGAGTTTGGTTTTGTCCATGTACCTGTTATGCTTCCAGTGATGGCTTGATGGAGTGAACGGCCCACCTCCAAAATCTTAAGGATAGGGCAGGCTTATATGAGAACCTGTGCTCTCTGCCCTTCTCCCCGTAGTGATCTCACAAAAATGATGATCTGGTATATGGAAACACAACTCCTGTTACCCCCAAGCCAGCAATATCTATGGGGGACACTAGGCTGGGGAAAATCTTCTCCCATCTCATACTTACTTATTATTTATTACATATGTTTGTATACCACCCAGCTTAGTGTAAAGCACTACTCGGGCAGTCAACAACAAACATAAACATAAACAATATATCCATCCCCTCAAATTCCCAACTGTAAGATTAAATACAATGGTGTCTCGCTTCACAACAATAATCCATTCCAGCAAAATTGCTGTAGAGCGAAATCGTCGTGAAGTGGGGAAAAAAACCCCATTGGAATGCATTGAAAACCGTTCAATGCATTCCAATGGGGGGAAATACCTGCTCGTCCAGTGAAGATCCTCCATAGGGAGGCCATTTTCCAGTGCCTGCCTTGTGAAATGAGGTCTGAGAAACAGCAGGCGGCCATTTTGAGCCCCGCCGATCAGCTGTTTCCAAATCATCGTCTAGCGAAAAATCGGTTCCCTAAGCAGGGAATAGCAAAAAACAAAAGAAAAAAACCCCACCATCTAAACATTGCTTTGTGATCGCTATAGCGATCGCAAAAAACTCCTCATCAACTGAAAAAAACCGTCATGTGGGGTAAGTGTCTAGCGAGGCACCACTGTAAAACAAACAAAACAAAAAACAGACAAAAATTGAATGATAAAGATGTCAAAAAAAGCAACAAGTGATGGCAGTTGGATGGGGAAGAGCCAAATCTCATTGACTCCTCAGGGGAAAATACTATTGACCACTCGGCCTTTAGCAGGCTCTGAAAGGTGCTTAGTGAGAGGTGCTTGACCTACTGCCAGGGGAAGCCTATTCCAGAAGGAAGGGGCCACAGCTGAGAAAGCTCTGTTCCTGGTGGAAGCCTTTTGAGCTTCTTTCAGAGTGGCCCTCTGCAGTCACAAGGGTTGGGTCGATCAGGTGGGGCGAGCAGAAGTTCATAAATGGAAGTGTTCCATTAGCTGAGATGTGGCTTATTGCATTGGACTATGGCCAATGAAGGGCGCGTGTATATGAAAACGGCCTTCTTGGTTTTATGTAGAAGAATCTCTGCTGCTGTGCAGTTTGCGCTTCCCAGTGCCCCTGTGTAGAAAACTCTGGCCCACCACTGTCCCTTTGTTTTTCTTGGCTGAGGACTTCATCTTCTTGCTGGCGGGCTGCTTGCTCCGTGTCTTTGTGGCATACTCGACATGCGTGATGTGACCGTGCATAATTATGATCAATTGTGGTCAGCCAGAGAGGGCTCCCCTACATCTAACTCAACGGGGCTGTTGGAAACTTTAGCAGCCAGGAGCACCATCTACTGGCGGACCTTGGCGACATCTGTTCCTTTTATTCATAGAAAAGACATTCCTAGCTTGCTGGATGAGGAAAGTGTAGAGCGATGGTTCCCAAATGTTTCTTGTGGCTCCCTTGACTTACTGGTCACTGGCTGTGGTTCCCCAGTGTGATACTTTGGGTGAGTCCAGGAAGAACGGAGGGGTCATGCTCAGAAAAGACCTACCAAAAATGAAAAATACTAGCATTCATGGGAATGTTACAGTGGTCTCTCTTACGGTGCGGATTATCTACACCGGATGCTATATTTTGCAAAGCGCTGGTTAAATCTACTTCTTTCCCTGTGTGCCGGAATTTGAGTATCAACCAATCTTGGTCATTAGACGCGCTTCCAAGAATTAACGGCCTGTCTTCGGAGCTATGAAATGACAGTTTGCTTTATTACATGTTGAGTTCAGCATATTCATTAGAGGCGATCTGAGGATGTCATGACATGTTATAACGGCACGTATCTGGTGACCAGTATGAACACAAGTGGAGGTTGTGGGTCTGTTGCTGGGGACAATGAGCTGTTGTGGGTTCAGGGCAGTCTCTGTATAGCAAATGGGCCCCGCTGCCAGTCACTTTTCCCTGCCGTCTTCTGTTCGGTAGGGAACGGAAAGAAAAGACTGTTGTTCTTTTTTTTAAAAAAAGTCTAAGGAGCAGCCTTTTTATCATTAAAGAATCAGCAACATCATGAATTCCTTTCCGTTTGCTAATTCTCTCCTGTAACTGCTTCAGAGACCATTTGCTGGAACCCTGTTTAATATGCCCACTTCCTTCCCCTCGCAGGTTGGAAAGCTGATCAAAGAAGCGGCTTCAAAAAGTAACTTGAAAAGGGTGACCTTGGAACTGGGTGGAAAGAATCCCTGCATTGTCTGTGCAGATGCTGACTGTGAGTTTGGGCCATGTCTCAATATTGCAGTAATTGCTCAGGGTGCCCTGCCTTGCCCCTGTCTCAGGATTAATTCAAGGAAGGGTTTGTTGAGTCAGCCCCCCTCTCCCCATGATTGCTTCTCATCCAGGTGGTGGTGAAAACAGGCACATGGGGGATCCAGACAAACCAGAGAATGTGGCCACCTAGAACTGGAAGGGTGGATTATTATTATTATTTTGCTGGTGACAAGACTGAAAAATATGCCCACGTGATGGGTGGTGAGCTTTTCCGGGCGGTTGATGAAGCTTGCAGAGGACTTAATGCCAACCTGTGGGGTTCTGTCCCAGGCTCTCTGCGATGTTTCTAGGATGTGCCAGAGGGTGGCTTAGGACTCACAGAGCTGGTGCTCCACCAGGGACCTTGCTCCAAATGGCACAATGGTCCAGCCATGTGCGCCCACCAGCTCTCTCGCTGTCCCCTTCCTTCGGTTTGGCTCTTCAGTTTGCCAAAATTATACAGGGTGCCGTACTCATCAACACAACTTTGCACTGATCTCTGTGAGTGTGAGCCTGGGCAGCTCTAAAGATCAAGGCAGCGACATCAAACCTAGAGAGCAAAGCAGAAGCTGCTGTGTTTGGAAGGGAAATCAAAGTATATGGAGAAGGAGGAGGGATATCATCATTCCAGTCCCAGGTACCTGGTGCTGTGCAGATGCTGGTCCACAATGTTTGTGTGTGTGTTGGAATCCATCTCTCTGAAGGAGCCAGAGATCATCCACTGGGCATTTGGCTTCTGGAGTAATCTGTTGGGGCCATCACTTCCTCAGAATAGTACACATCTACTGTTGTATCCCAGAAGATAAACTGAAGGCCAGCAATGATCAATATAGCTCAGTGGTTTAGGTAGCTGGATGCGGGGCCAGAGGTTCGGACTTAAATTTCCCACCGTTTCTACTTGACAAGGGCTGGACTTGATGATTTACAGGGTCCCTTCCAGCTCTGCAGTTTGGATGATTGAGTTCAGCACCATGGATAGCTCCGTAGGCATCACATGCTACACTACGGCGCAAATCCTTTTGCTTAGTTATGCCTGCACAGTGGATTCTCACTGGCGGTTAACAAACCCCTGCTTGGGTTTTCAGGCATTGGACCTCCTGCTGGCTTGTGTAACTATTCAAAAAAGCCTTTGGGACAATCTTGGGGTTGCAGATGCATGAGATGGCAACGGCCATAGCAGCAGGGGGCTTCTGCTCGGGTAAGAAAGTCAGGAACACTCCCTTCTGCAGACAACAGGCAACACACTATTAACATGCGTAGTAGAAACAAAGAGGATTGAGGCCTTAGAGTTTCGTGGTAGAGAATATACTTACTTGCATTCAAAGAGGCCTTGGGTTCTATCCTCGGCATCTCCACATTGGTTTGCAAAAGGCTTCTGTCTGAAACCCAAGAAAGATGCTGCTAATCAGCATTTATTATATGGAACTGGATCATCAAATGCCATGGGCAAAATCCAGTGGCATAACTTTGCACCTGGCATAATTTGGATTTGGCGTGGAAATATTTAAATTACGTTAATTAGAACTCCTTATCCACTTGTTTTAGGTTCTGAGGCTTCATAGAGGCTCCCATTTATCCCGGGGAAACCTTGGGGAGCAGAGGAGGGGGAGACTTTAGAAGTCATCCCCAGATGGCCACTGCTGACATTAGGACCACAGCTGCCGATCCAGCTGTGATGTTTGACTTTTCAAGCCCCTCTTCCATCCTCAGGGTCCTAAAATCTTCCCCAGGGCAAAGGGTAGCTCTGTGGAGACTTGGAACCTAAAACAAGGGTGAAGAAGGGAAGTTTTCAATTCTGTGTTTTCCAACATGCCTTCTGTGTTGCACCGGGCACACCTTTAAACAACAGGAGTTGCCCATTGAGACCAATTTAGTGTCCTCTAAATGGTGGACTCCAAATCCCATCAGCCCCAGTCAGCATGGCCAGTGGTCAGGATGATGGGAAAGAAAGCCTATCGACATCTAGAAGACCATGCTGTTAAGTTTCTCATTTCCAAACTCATTGGCTTGATTTTGGTATTTTAGTACAATTTCCTATGTTCTTATGGGAACCACTGATTCTTTCTCCTCCGCTTCTTGGCCCTTTCCAGTGGACTTAGCCGTGGACTGCGCCCACCAAGGCGTCTTCTTCAACCAAGGCCAATGCTGCACAGCTGCCTCGCGGGTCTTTGTAGAAGAACAGGTGTATCCGGAGTTTGTCCGGCGCAGCGTGGAATATGCTAAAAAGCGACTTGTGGGGGACCCGTTTGATGCCAGAACTGAACAGGGGCCACAGGTAAAACATCTGCACTATTGATTGAAATGTGTTTTTCCCCTTTTATTTATAGGATTTCTGTCTGTCATTTATTCATTTATATAGTCTGCTCTACAGCTAGAAAGGCTTTTGAATCAGATTCTGGTCACTAGGTAAAAAAAAATATAATTTGCCAACATCCAAGAATATTTGCGAACATCAGGAAATAATTGTATTTTGCATCATATATGCAGAAGTGGGATGTGTAACATAATGCTGTAGGATAAAATACTCCTATACTTATTTCTGTCTGTCCATGCCCTTATCCTTGACACTAAACTGAGTTTCCCCCATTCTACCAGTTTTTTTCCTCTCCCTTCCGAATAGTTAGATAGCATTTGACGTCATTGTGCATGGGTGAGTCTGTTTTGGCTACGTAAGAATCCATATTTTGAGAATAAGTTTGCTCTTCTAGAAACACAATTACAATATGTCCATAGGTGCACTGCTTTGAGAATAAGTTTGCTCTTCTAGAAACATGATTCCAGTATGTCCATAGGTGTACTCCATCTGGACGTTGAGTCATGGCAACTAGACTTCTTTCTTATTAGGTTGAAACGTTTCTCTACTCATCCTGAAGTGGCTTCTTCAGACTGAAGGATCAGTCTCCTATTTCTCATGCTGCTCGTTCATCCGTCCCCAGGAAGACCACTGTTAACAAGTTAACAACCCATGACAGTGGGTGGAGAAAGACTGCAGAAGTAGGATTATCCCTCACCCCCCATCCTTTGTCCATCTAACAAGCCTGTTCAGACCAGGGGGAAGGGAAACCAACATGAAAGATATATCAGGGATCGCCTATCAACTTTCCTCAGATTAAAGAAGCTATATGGATAAGTAGTGAAACATTTCAGCCTAATAAGAAAGAAATCCAGTTGCCATGACTCAACTTCCAGATAACCTCATCTGGATGACTGAGAATCTTCACAGGTATATTGTCCATAGGTGTAGTAGAATCTTTATCCTTCAGTAGAGGGAGCCCTTCTATCACAAAGGGCTTAATGGAAGGTCAGCTCTCACACATAAAAACATGAACACACAAAATGCAAGGTGTGCAGATATGTATTTTTGGTGTACAACTGTACACTTCTACGTAAAAATAAAACTTTACAGCGCAACATAGAACATATATGTGGGAGAAATGCATGTTTGAAAATATCTGTACACATATCGAAGCCATGATGCACTGCATCTTCTTATCAGTTCTGAATTACGAAGTTAAATGTTTTGAGTTTTTGTTTTGTTTTGGTCTTCTGGAACTCACAGCCTGTATTTTAGGAGTCTGATCCCATTTTTTCCTGCTGGAAAGACTATGCCACGGAATGGTTTTGGAACGCCCAACACATAAAAATTTTTGCGACTAGACGAGTTGCAAGGTTACAGCATTGACAGCAGTTCTGCCGTTTTCTTTTGTAACAGATTGACCAAAAGCAGTTCGACAAAATCCTGGAATTGATCGAGAGTGGGAAGGAGGAAGGGGCCAGACTGGAGTGCGGTGGCGTAGTGGTGGGAGACCGTGGCCTGTTCATAAAGCCAGCCGTCTTTTCGGAGGTCACAGATGACATGAGAATTGCAAAGGAGGAGGTATGGAGTCCATAACTGAAAGGTTAAGATGGGTGTGGATAGGAGGAACATATGTCAGGATGAATTCTGATATCTCTGCATTTTTTTTATGTAACATGCCTGATTTTGTTAAGTGTTGAATAGAGATGGACGCAAACTGCCGGTTCATCCTGGTTCGTTTAGTGCCTCAACAGGTGTTTGGTGGTTCATTGCTCCACCCTCTCTGACAGGGGCCAATCAGAAGCACCGCCTGGAGGAGGCGGAGCTGAGACTCTGCCTCTGAGTGGGTGCCCACTATAGAGGCGGGGACCGAACCACCAAACACCTATTGCAGTGGTGAACAAACGGGGCGAAACCACCGAACTAGTAGTTCATGCCCATCTCTAGTGATGAACCCATAGGAACTCTGAACCTTGTGCTCAGAAGATATGGTTTAGCAGCCACACTTTATTGCAGATCCTACATCTAGTTCTTTTAAGGGTTGGTTTTTGCATAGATTCAGAGTGAGAAAGAAGAGGTGAAGGTCAGTTGGTTCTCAGTTAAGCCAATGAAGACTTAGTGGTCTCTTCCCCTCTCTGCAAACTCGTTCGTGAATTCTGTTCCATATTTTTTTTTAATCCTGAAGTTTCAAATGGATTGTACCAAAATTCATGTATACTTTTGTTATGGTGAAAATCAACTAAAAGCAGATGGCCTGGCCAGGAAATCTCTCAAAACTAAAAGCAGATGGCCTGGCCAGGAAATTTCTCAATCTCTTTCTCTCTCTCTCAATCTTTCTCTCTCTCTCTCTCTCTCGTTACATCATTTCACACTCTTCTCTCTCTCTCTCAATCTCTCTCTCTCTCTCTCTCAAGTTACATCATTTCACACTTAGTATGTCGAAAAGGCACCTGGATGGAAGTAGCATGCGAATCTGATGTTTAATTTTGTGAAACCTGTGTTTTTTGTCATGACACTCCTTAACGGGTAGATGGCCTTGATGTCGCCTTTTAACAGATTTTTGGACCCGTGCAACCCATAATGACTCTCAATCTCTCTCTCTCTCTCTCTCAAGTTACATCATTTCACACTTAGTATGTCGAAAAGGCACCTGGATGGAAGTAGCATGCGAATCTGATGTTTAATTTTGTGAAACCTGTGTTTTTTGTCATGACACTCCTTAACGGGTAGATGGCCTTGATGTCGCCTTTTAACAGATTTTTGGACCCGTGCAACCCATAATGAAGTTCAAAAGCCTAGAAGAAGTCATACAAAGGGCCAATAAAACAGAATATGGACTCACGGCTGCAGTGTTTACAAAAAATTTGGACAGAGCCCTGACCCTGGCTTCGGCGCTACAGTCGGGCACAGTCTGGTAAGATAAGTTTATCGCTATGGGGTCCTTTCAAGGAGAAAGGCACGGTAAAAGTATTATAAATAAATAAATACATTAAATAAATAATACTTTGTTCAGAATTAGAGGAGAATGGGTATGGTGGATCTCATGTCAGACAAGGACACAGGAGATAGAGAAGGTCACGGGCTCCCCTTGGGCGTGGAATTTATGGTGTGTGTGTGTGTGTGTGTGTGTGTGTGTGTGTGTGTGTGTGTGTGTGTGTGTGTGTGTATATGTGTACAGTAAGCCTTTTCTTGAATATCTTACAAACCTTGAAAACCTGTAAGCGGGAAGCAAATTGATGGGAGAAAACAATGATAATATTATGTTTTTTTCACCAAGGGATACATACAGGCAGTGTGGATAAAATGTGGTCATACTTCTTTCTGTTTCAATTTCACCCCTCATTTTTGGAATGCATTACAAATCTTCCCATGTCCCACTTCTTAAAGCACACAGAAGATGCTTGTGACTTTTGCTGATCACATGAAACTGGGGTGGGTTGGGGACAAGATAGCGTCCCAGAAGACAGAGCCAGGATTCAAAGCTCTCTTGACCATCTGGAGCTTGGCAGAACCAACGAGATGAAATTCAGTGGAGCTAAATGTATAGCCCTACATTTAGGTGCAAAGAATTAAAAAAAGAAAAGAAACAAGTACAAGATAGGGGAGACCTGGCTCGGTGGTGAGCAATATAAGTTTTTAAAAATCCAGCTGTCTTGTGTAATCAGACATTGAGCATGAGCTGGCAATGTGATGTGGCTCCCAGCACTCTCCAACCCTATGGTAATGCAGTCTCAAAGCATAGCATTCAGACCTCGAGAAGTTATAGGAGGTTCTATTCTGTTCTGCATTAGTCAGGGATGTATATGGAACTCTGTCTGCTCCATCTCAAGAAGAACATGGACAAACCAGACCACCCCCCAGAGTGAAATGAGGATGTTGAAGGGTTTGGGTACAAAGGCTTATGAGACATGCTTGAGGTGGTGGGGTGTCTTTTGTTGAAAGTGACAGGGTGCAACTCAGTTTAGACTGAAGATGAGTGCAAGAGGAGAGACCTCCTCTATCTATACATCCTTGGCTGTCCTTTACCTGCTCCAATTTATGTTTATTTATTTATTTATTGCATTTATATGCCGCCCATCTAGACATAGTCTACTCTGGGCGGCTCACAACTTAGAAGATAAAAACAATTTAAAATATACAGTTTTACATTAAAAAAACAAAATGATATAAAATGTAATATAAATTTACGATGTTGACCTTCCTCCTTCATCGCTGAGAAGTAGAGGCATTTATCGCTGCGTCTCCCCTTAGTTAATCAGAAATGGGGACTATCCCAATGTGCTTCTAGAATTTGTTGGAGGTAATTGGACATAGCTTGCATGTCTTTACATGGGGAGAAGTAGTCAGAGAAAGAATGACCACGGGTTTCCTAGACTCTCTTTTACTTGCTATGACCTACGGTGGTCCGTTAGCCTATACTGATATTCTTCCAGGGTGATAACATCATTGCCTCCCTTCTTGCTATATCTATCTATCTATCTATCTATCTATCTATCTATCTATCTATCTATCTATCTATCTATCTATCTATCTATCTATCTATCTATCTATCTATCTAT